AACCCCCCTCCCTTTGAAGTTAAATGGTCGTTCTCTAAGTTTGATTTATGACACAATATAAATACAGAGTTTATTTGTAACAGCATCCTGATACAGTCGTTACTTGTATAATTTACATTTACAGACTAATTTTAGTACACACAAATAATGGTTGATTTAAGGATACATTTGAAATCTTTGGTAGAAAGGATCATTTTAAAGAAATGTTGTCAAGGGTTGTGAGAATTTGACTGAGAAAATATTCACTGATTTACCCTAGAATTAACACGACGTTTTACCAGACAGGTGCTATTTCGTGATGTAATTTGTAATTTTCGTTTGTAGTTTTATAACGTATACACTCTTGAAAAATAAGTAAACTGTAATAATAATATTGAAGGTGGGGTTGATTGTATGGGGGTGGGGGTAGGAGGGGTAACACACATTTCGGGATGTGGGATATAGGGGGTGGAAAAAGTGGGGATATGAGACATATGGATTGAAAAGGTGTTGCTGTAGGACATATAGTGGGTAAAAAAGAGTTGCTGTAGGACATATAGTGTGTGAAAAGGTGTTGCTGTAGGACATATAGTGGGTAAAAAAGTGTTGCTGTAGGACATATAGTGGGTAGAAAAATGTTGCTGTAGGACATATAGTGGGTAAAAAAGTGTTGCTGTAGGACATATAGTGGGTAAAAAAGTGTTGCTGTAGGACATATAGTCGGTAAAAAAGTGTTGCTGTAGGACATATAGTGGGTAAAAAAGTGTTGCTGTAGGACATATAGTGGGTACAAAAGTAGGGGTGTGAGATATATGGATTAAAAAGTGTTGCTGTAGGACATATAGTGGGTAAAAAAAGTTACCAGGTTAAAAGTGATAAAAATTACAAAAAAGCAGATTTGGGAAACAAGCACCTCGTGTCAACCCACCCCCCCCCCCCCTTTTTTTCCGCCTCAATATTTCCATACCAACATGGCTTATTTTCAGATTGTCTTATAAAGAACTTTGATATATTAAAGAATTTAGTAACTAGGTGAAAGTATTTGCCCTTGATCTTTTCTGCTGAGGATGAGCTCCAAATTTCACTTCCATATAAAATGATTGGTTTAACTGTGTGGTGAAAAACGTGTAATAGAGTTTCAATTTTATGTTTATGATATGCTGAAAACCACTTTCACATAGTATTTGCCTGGAAACTGTTCAGCTACCAGAATTATTAATAGTTACTCTAAGTTAAGAATATTCTTTTTAATATTTTCAATCATAATATAATATACATAGTAATTAAAGCAAGAATACAAGTCTCCCAGTATTATTAGTTATACGGTGTGTTAGTGACCTAATACGATATATATGGGGTCAGTAAATTCCATATGGAGGGAGAGCGAATATCGAATCTCCATATGGAATTTACTGACCCCATATATATCTTATTAGGTCACTGCCACACCGTGTAACGAATTTATCTTACCGACTTTCTTCACATGTGGTATTTAGACTAGCGGCCTATCAAAGTGATTTAGTCTTCAATACTTAGTATTAAGAACCTACTTCCATTTGTCTATACAAAAAAACAAATGCCAACAATAACAACTTGTTAGCTTTAAAGGAGACGTGACACGATTTTTAAATTTTTTATTTTTTTTTATCAAATTGATAAATATTAGTCTTAAAACATATTTTGTACAATTTTGCTAGTCAAAACCTGATCAATCGACATTTTTTAGGTCAAAGAATCCAGCGCTTGTCATAATGAATGATTTTTAATTAGATAACAATCACGTGATCGTGCTTACGTCAGTGGTTACAAGCTAGGAAAATGTCACTTACTGTGGTAACAATCCGATCGGTATTGTCTGAAAGATCGTCGTTGTTGGACTTTTCGCATGAAGAATTAATATCCTTTTCTTGGTTCTTTTCCACACACAATGGCTCAAATTGATGAGGTCAATTGTCTTTGTAGTTTGTCAGTAATCGGGAAAAGTGCTTTCAATACCGTCCATATAGTGATCCATAGTGTATCGACTTCGTCATATAGGTTTGTCTGATGAATAAATTTAATAAACCGCTTTCTTCATTTTTTTTTATTTATTCAAATAAAACTACTTTTAATCATGATTCAAAATATAAATTTTATTATTGATGATCAAATTGTTCTTTTTCCTCTCTGTTACGGTAATGTTATAATTATGTGTGCTCCCGAAGCAGAAAGAAAAGAAAGAAAAAAACGATATTAAAAGTAAAATTATGCGTTTGCAAAGGGTACGTTTTTTGTTTTGTTTTGGTTACGGTGATACTTTTAATAGGTATAAACTATCACCAAAAGTTATGCATATATTTTTTTTGGTTGGAAACCATACATCACGCCAAGGATTTGTATAGTGACAAATCCTTTATCACACCTTTTCTGCATTAGGATATTCAATTAACAATTTTATTACTTTCCCCCTTTTTATGTAAACAATTCAATTCAATATTTTAGTTACGTCTCACCTTATATATAAAATTAAACAATACAAAACATTTATTGGAGGCTGTTGTATTAGTAATTAAATTTTGACACCTATAGCATACTTGACCAGGTGAAAGGTAAGAAGGCACCTGTAGTGTGATTTAGTCGCGTGTTATGTTATTTACCTTGAACTACTGTAGTCTTATGTTGAAATAATTAACATAGTTCTAAAGTATGCAATTCCATCCAAACCCTTATAAATCTAACTTCAAATTTAAGGAATTACACAAAGTAAATTCAAGTTCACACATTTCCACCCTTCTCTTCCCAATATCATTTAGCAATCAATTTGTTTATTGCTACCAGCAAAATGCTTGAGTCCAGAAAAATATTCACAACTTAATATTTCTTCAAAAAGGGGTCATTTGAATAGATGTTAAATTTTCAATCGTACTGAGCATGAACATGTTTACATGTTACATACTTCAGTCTTCGAATACATGAATTATGTATTATTTGTATTTGGCTTTGATCTAGCTTACATTATTTGTGCGTTATCTGTATTGTTTTTACGTTAGTGGTTTCTGTACTTCGTAACGATCTTTTGAGTTAGACTGGTTTTTATAGTTCTTGTGTACTGCTGTAAGACCGCTATCACACGTTTTTTTCTGCGGAAATTATTTTGTTATAAATAAGTTAGTTTTATCGATAAAATTGTTTCACATTTTCATGTTGAGAACTTTTATAGCCGAATATACGGTATGAAGTTATAGACTTGCAAGCATACAGAAATATTACTTTTCCATCTCAAGAAGTCAATTAAAAAAAATGCATCTGTTATAAACCTTTTTATATCTGCATATTCTTAAAAGCAATAAAAATAAGATCTATATACAGGATGTCTATAATTAGTTATCAACGCTGGTTAGGGTATTTAATTGGTGGTGCATAGGGTATTGTATGGTCGTACTACATGCAGGTATTCATTAAACATCAGGTATAGTTGTACCTGTATTGCTGTAACAATAATTTATATTCCAATCTCACCTGTGCCCCCGGCAAAACCAACATCCAGGATGTACACATAGAGCTTATGAAGTAATATTGCGTAATAACTATATCTTATCAATCCCCCACGTGGCGTGACACCTGAAGCTTGCAACTTCAAACGAGACCTGAAATTGCGAAACTCAATCAACTGTACCGTTCACCTGTGACCTATGACGAACTCATGGCATGGCACCCGAGACCCCAACTCTAGATTCCTTATAAAAGTGGGCGGAAAGAAGTGTCGTTTGGGCTTGTTAAAAAATCCTATCTTTACGCCTTCTAAGTCCGCGTGTCATTCGAAAAATAGAAAATATCATGTCAATATTCTTTTTAATTATATTGGTGAACCATCGGCATCACACATACTCATTTTCTTATCACTGTCATGCGTTTTGTTGGATAATAATCGAAACTAAATTTGCGCTGTACCCATATGTTAATATGAATGAAAGGAACCACTGACGTAGTAGCCTCGTTCTGAGTGACTTCCGGGATGGAAATATGCATATTTGACAGGTCGATAAATCCTTGCATTAAAATCTCATTAAAATACATATTTTAACAAATATTTGAGAATTATATTGCTATCGATGTATTTTTGGGGAAAGTTAAGTATAAATAAACATTTTGAAACACAAATTGAAAGTCGTGTCATGTCTCCTTTAAATTTGTTTTATTACTTTATTTCAATCGTTCATTATCAATTTCTACGTCTGTTGAAACCTTTCAGATTTTTTGTTTTGACAGGGAAGTAACTCCTTACTAACCCCATATGGTAACTAACCACATATTTTTTTAGGACACCCTATATCAAATATATGTAGTCACCACTTGTAGTCCTTTAACCAATCATATCCCCAGAAATCTATAGGAGGTAAGATAATATTAAATATGACTGATTTAGTTTTATTTCAAGTCCCAGTGCTTTACATATAAAGATAGGCGAAATATACCAGAGGGCTAAATCATAAGTCAAAAACAAACTGAAAATGCCATAGCAAAAAACGAAAACAAGTTATTGTCTAATTCATGTAAACACCGATGACGCTCATTTGGCGTTTCAGACAGTAGAACAAGATCATCTGCATACATGAAACAGTTCTGTCTGAAACTGTTTAAAACCCATCGATGGCCATTACCTTAAAAATATATCCGTACTTTGAGGGGGTAGAAAGGGGTCTCATTCCCAACTCCCGAGAAAATAAATGCAAAATCCTGAATTCCCGTGAAATGAATGTGTCCGTTCCCACATCACGATATAATTGAATCCCGAATTCCCGACGATTAAACTAACTATTCCCGAATTCCCGTGAATAAATGGCTCAATCGCGAATTCCCGAAAAAAGGTCCTTCCGTCCCTATCCTTTGGTCTGAGGTGGATAGTTGTCTCATTGGCAGTCTTACCACATCTCCTTATTTTTATAATAAAAGAAATCAAGCATAAATATTTACATAATCTATCTAAATTTTTTTTTCAATTCGTATCTAGCTTTCTTTTGTTTTGGTCTGCAAATGATTGACTAAAACAGTTTGAACAGAATTTAATCTTTTTTTCTTCCAACAGTTTGTATCTTGATTTCATGAAAATGGACACTTTAGACTTACATTTGTTTTATTCCATATCAATGTATAATTTGAGATTCATTGTTTGAGAATGTGTTAACTCATTGTCATTAATCGGTACAGTTAAGTACTAGATCTACGGAAGTATTTTCGTACCTTTGCAAACAGTCCTCTATTACCATTTATTTTGGTCTTAGACTCGTTTTCAGTAGTGCCTTGTTCATATCTAGTGGTTTTATAAGAATATATATCCTCCAAGCTTTTTCTTGCAAGTTGTCCTGTCGCGGTAAACTTTTCATTGCCCGTTGGTACACTTGTGCTTCTAACAGTAAAGGGCTTGTCATCATTTTTACCAAAACTTTTTTTCCTTGCCAATGGATTGTTCGAACGCAGTTTTGGTTCTGGTTTCAAACGATAAATGGTATTTTTCTTATAACCGACGAACGCAACCTGTTGAAAAATTTTAGTAGAAGAAACCACTTTATCGTATGCAACCATTTTGTCGAACCTTTTCTTTCTAAGTTTTAGTCTGAAACCGTCATCTTCTACTGATTTTCTTGATAAGCTTGTAGATCGAATAGTGAATCGACCAGTTTGGAGAGCCCTTGTATTTCCGAACTGTTCCAGCAGAATGTCGAAAATATCCTTGACGTTCCCACCCTCTTTAGTCGACACTTCAAGAAAACATCCTCCAAGATTTTGATTAAAGGCCCACTCGAGTGCATTAAATGTTTCTATTTGCCTCTTATTGTCATTGTCAATTTTGTTTCCTACAACAACACATGGAATACTTAAGACGTTTTTGCGAACGCATTTAATCTGTTCCCATATTCTTACAACTTCCCTAAAGGAATAGGCATCATCGATTGAATACACAAGAATAAAACCATTTGCCTTAGAAATGTAAATCTGTCTCATTGCTGGAAATGCAATGCTTCCTGCAGTGTCTATAAAATCAACATATTTTATGTTCCCATTAACACTATATGGCTGAGTTTGAATATTTTCTACTGTTTCTGTGTAAATTTCGGTGAAATATCCGTTCATGTATTGGTTTAAAATTGAAGTTTTACCAACGCTGCCTGCCCCCAGCAAAAAAACTTGATGCCTTGAAGTGTCGTCTGTCATTTTAAAGAAAAGCTCTAAATGTTGATTGATTGTTGGTTGCTTAACGTCCTCCCTAACTGATGAGGCTCAGTGGTAAGTATTGAGGTCTTTTAGACGTGGTTAACATTTTAAGTGAAATTCTCAACCAATCAATTTTGATATTTCGCTGTTGCCGTGATATTAAGTAATTGTTTTGAATTCACGCTTTCCTTTTAAGGTGTTGAAAATAAGGAGTGATGAATTTGAATAGATTTGTATCTTGCGCAGCTGTTGACTTTTTCATCTCCTCGATGAATATTCCTTGTGACTCTATATATACATGTGCTAATATCATATTAAAAACAACTCCCTGTGAGAAACTATATGTTTACATGTGAATTGTCCCAAGGATTTTTCATTTAACATATAAAGCTTAAATATCATAACAAGCAATATGCAAAGCATATTTACAAAGGGTACGCACATAATTTGGTTTTTCCCGCTGCATGAACAAAGTAAAAACAACCGAAAACAGCGTCCATTTTTAAATAATTACATTACATGTATGTTTCATTATAATACGTTATTTTGATTGCCTAACAGCAATCTCGCGTCATTCTGAAATTAACCTTCATTTCAAAATGAAATGTACATTCATGATGACACGAGCTTCCACAATAAAATGCACAGGTAAATAAAAGAAAAACTTGATAGAAATCGTATTTCCTAGCAAACAAATGTAATTATAAGTATTGAATGCTTCTTTTAGTAATTTTATAGGGTTGTAAAAGCGTTGACCGTGCGCACATTTTTAGAATTTCCGCGCTTCATACAAAATGTACTTAGGTCAACGCTTTTACACCCCAATAAAATTACAAAAAGAAGCATTCAATTCTTAAATGAAAACAGCTTAGAACTTAATACAAAAATTGTATCCAAATGTCGCTTTTCGTTTTTTGTTTTAAAAGGAATGACTGTAATATTTTTTTCTGTCTATGAAGAAATAACATAAAAAATGTGGTGCACACTGAATAACTCACGTAGCGGGTTATTCAAAAGTGTGCACCACATTTTTCAGGTTATTTCGTATAGACAGAAAAAATATTACAGTCATTCCTTATAATTAAATTCTAAAAAGGAGTAAATCATGATAAATAAGTTGATGACGTCACGGTCACATGACAAAATTATGTCTATGAGTTGATAGACAAAACACGGTCAGCCAACCAGAAGACGTGTTACATCCAAAATTAAATTATTTTGTGATATCAAAAACGAAAACACTACCGTTTCTCGTTTTTATTTTGGTTTAAGATATGAAATACGAGAAAACATTTATTTTTAGTTTTTTGTTTTTGAGAAAAATCAAAACTGAAAAACGAAAACACTTTTAATTTTTGTTTTTCGTTTTTAAATTTCTTAAATGAAAAACGAATGGACGCAAATATACACGGACCTCCCTGGACCTTGTGTTGTTCGTTGTTGTCAGTTGTTATTTTTAGGTGTGATTTATTGTTATTGTCTAATATTTCGGTAATCATCCTGATGTCCTTTGTACAATTGATATTATCTATATATATTTTTCCCCCGACATAAACAGTTTTGCGTTTTCTATAAGAATAAGCCATGCAGGGTGGATCCACGGTTTAGGGAAAGGAGGTATCGTTGTCTAAAAAAAGGGAGGGTTAACTCTGTATGCCCCCTCCCCTGAATCCGCCACTGATATGATTCATAAAAGTATGCCTTTATTTACACAACGTTTGAAAATCCTATTGAAAATTGTTTATAGTTTTGTTTAAACTATCGGAATGCCATTGTTGTATTGTAATCCTTGTCTACTTGTTGTTTTCCTTGACCTCATTTTCAAGATTTATAGTAGGGTGCCCATTCAACGAATTTGATCGATTTGGGTTAACGGAATAACACACGTCTGTATTTATATCATCGTTGTCTACAGTGGTAACGATTTTCTTTGGGTCAAAGGTCAAAGCTAAAATTTCAAGGAAAACGCATAGTCACGTATAGATAGATGGCCGCCCCTACATATATGAGTTTATAGAAAAATAAATTCAAATAATTCAAAGGATTATAACTTTAGTTTCTATATTTAGGACTAATTTGATATATCTGTTGCCAAATATGGTTCGAGATTGACATTTGTACTTATAGGGTGCACATTTACAATTTTCATTCTGTTGTTTAAAAACAGTGACCTTGACCTATTAAAATTTCAAAATTCGGAATTTTTACATAAGATTCGATACAAGTGATCTCTAGAGATGATTTTTTGATATTAACACTTATAAGTTTCCCTTTCCAAAATGTTTTTTTTTTTTGCGTCTTTTGAAGAAGGTGTTCGTAATGATTTTCTTGGTAAATATATTCAATTTTCTTTTGTTGAGAGTGGAAGCACATCAAATTGTACTTAGTTCCAAAACTGGTGTAATATTAACGCAGAATTTATTGAATGTATTAGCAGGTTTGAGTATATCTTTGCTTTATAGAAATAAAAAAACGGTGAAAAAAGGGGGAGGGTTTCTTCTAAAATTATGTAAACAAAATGACAAGTTAATCACTCCATCTTATACACTTATATGACTTATTGAGCATAAATTGGCCTACAATTGACATGAAGTTAAAGATTATCCACAAAAAGAGGGTTATGTACAGCATCGATGTATTTTACAAACACTTGTAAACAACATCAATCTTATTAAAATATAGATCTCCGATTTCGTTATCCTCATATGAGCTGATATATACGAGCACGCGAGTTAATATAGATCAGAATTTTAATCAGACTGAAACAACATAGAAAAATTGCCGAAGCTAGTAGTAGCTATTACGTTTCATTGTCTACTGTTAAGCTGAAAGCCCACCGACCAGGTTTAGGTTAGAGAGCTAATTTCAGTTGTTCTTTTTTAAATCGCAAGACGCAAGTCGCAAAATGCAAGGCATACAGAATACAATCTGATGTTGGCGGCGGCAACACCGTAAACTATTTGTATAGCTTTATATTTCAGAGGGTAGAGGAATTGAATGATTCATACTTTGTATATAGATCCATTGTGTTACGAAGTTCCCGTCTGTCATATGATCATGTTCCTTGACCTCATTTTCATGGTTTAGTGACTGCTAAAAACTGTATATAGACATAATGTGGTATGAGTGCCAATGAGACAACTCTCCGTACAAGTCAAAATTTGTAAAAGTAAACCATTATAGGTAAAAGGTCTTATCTATATAAAAAAAGAGAAACGAGAAACACTTATGAACCACATCAACAAACGACAACCACTGAACAACAGGTTCTTGACTTAGGACAGGTGCAAACAAATGCAGCGGGTTTAAACGTTTTAACAGGCGCCAACCTTCACCCTAGCCTGAAACAAAAGTGTAACATCACAACATAGAAAGACACACTATAAGATATCAACTGAAATGGCTTAACTCAATCAAAAGACATATCAACAGTAACAAGTAAACATACACTGAACGAATAAATTTGATCTATGTCACAATATAAATACAAAATTAATTAAAAAAAAAAGAACCATAACCTTGGACAAAATGCCGCCAAATAAAATAACGTACACAGGTAAATAAAGATAATTTTGTGGTAAGGTATACATGGAGTACGGATATATTTTTTACAAAATAAATAAATTTTTTGTTCATAGTACGAGAACAGAGTGAAAAATTATCGTCATACCAAACACTGGTGGTATATATTAAAAATAGTGAGACGAGATATAACACTAAATAAGTAAATATTAAAAAACAAAAATGCATTACAAATTGAATCAACAGGTCAAATTAACACGAAAGTACGATTTGAGAGTACTCACAGTTACTTAAAGCTAGATAAAAGCCATAAACAATTAAAAATAAAAAAAACATGTATCAGAGACTAAAATCAACTAAAACACATAGCTCTTTTTTTTTTCATGTGAATGTCTCATTTATCATGAGTTCTAGGATAACGATATTTGGTTACTAATATACGGTATCCTTGCAATGCATGTCTACATGTCCGTCAGACATGGTTCAACTGACCTCGACCTTATTTCATGGATCAGTGAACAAGGTTAAGTTTTAGTGGTCAAGTCCTTATCTCAGATACTATAAGTAGTGGGTCAAATATATTTGGTGTATGGAATGGTAGCAAGGTGTACATGTCTTAGTGGCAGAGTTCATCTGACCTTACCTCATTTACATGGAACATTGATAATGTTAATTTTATGTAATACTTGTTGTATGATATAAAAATAAGGAGATGTGGAAGTAAGTAATTATAGACAACCGTACGGCCTTCACCAATAAGAAATCCCCATACCGTATGGTCGGCTATAAAAGGACCTGATATGAAAAATTTGAAACAATTCATTTGAGAAAACTAACGGCCTAATTTACAACAAAACAATTTACCAAAATAAATATGACAGACATGAACCAACGACAACCACTCAAATACCGGCTCGATCCTGACCTGGGACAGGCATATAAAGAATGTATAATTATTTTCTCTAAGATTTTTGACATAATACAGTTAGTAAAACATGCTGTACCAGTAGAATCCTAGTTTTACGGTAATGATGTTAATGATCATACTTTTCTCAGACTATTGATGACGTCCTTTCATTAGCTTTCAGTAAGGGGACAACCATTTGATTTCGAAAAGGGGAGGGGAGGATGATTTTGAAAATGAATAACTTAGCCTGGTATGAACTGAAAATAATATAGGGCCAAGACTCTTGAGGTACACTTTTAAAAATATGTAACAAATTATTAATGTTTTAACACATTTTAACACACTGTATTCTTTTTGACAAGAACTATTTTACATATCTAAGGGCGACTGATTCAGAATCTGAGATAAACCATAAGTTTTAATAAACGTTATTATTACATTGGTTGCAATGAATTACATTGATTTCCCAGTGAAATAAAAACTGATAATTTCACATGTGAAATAAACGTGGTTATTTCACTCCTCTGACGTCATACAACAATAGGCGTTGTCATGACGTCGGATCAAAACAAATTGTGAATGCTTAGAAAAAGATATAGTTCCTTACATATTCTAGTTTAATTTCAGAAAAAAGACCATTTGCCAATGTAATAAAAAGAATAACTAATCAAAGAATTCAAATATCGAAAAATATTCAACTCGTGAATTAGTAGAATAACTAATAGAAGAATCCAAAATCGAAAAATATTCAACTCGTGACCGAACAACACTGATAATTCGCGCATTCGTGAATTAATGTGTTGTTCGGTCACTCGTTGAATATTTTTCTCTATTTGAATTCTTCGATTAGTTATTCTATAAATCATGTGGAAGGCAATCAAAGGCTTTAGATAGATCCATAACAATTGAGCACTGCAGTGTATTAATTTTTATCAGCTTTTTTTCCTATCTTCGATCACTCTTGAAAGGGTTTGTAATAACCGGTTTTGCAAAATGTAAAAGTTTTGGGGAAATTCCATCGATACAGGTTGCCTTCTTTATATTAATTGTACTAAGGGACTGATCATTTTCTTTCGTTGGTGAATGGGAGGAATATTTGAATATCTCTTATTTTTTTCAAATAAAATCACCCCCCCCCCCCCCCCTTTTAAACACACTTTTCAATATTTATATTATTTACAACAAAAGATACATGCATACAATTTCTATTTATGTTATTGTTATTCAATAAAATATCGCATCAGTTTTGAAAATATGAAAATAAAGCTTCAAGTTGGGAAGTTGTTTGTTACTTCAGGGAACTTTATTTAGATATGCCTGTTATGGTCTCATTATAAAAATAAGTAGATGTGGTATGATTGCCAATGAGACAACTATTCACCAAAGTTCAAATGAAGTGGATGTAAGCAATTGTTGACATTTACCACACCTTCGTTCAATGTCAGCACATTTTTCCTATCCTTTATTAAAGAAGTTAGAAAATTAACTTAGATAAAAAATACTTTTCTGGAAGAACATATTGAAACTTAAGATTGTTATCTTAACAATTGAGCCGAATAGATTATTAATGTCTTTCCTGCCAAAATTTTATTATTTGTATTGTAAGGGGAAACGTTGGGTGTGGGTCCGCCTAACTCCACATCTCCAGGTCATAAAGGAAAATGTAAAGACATATTAAAAATGCCACACTTGACTCCTAGATATCATATTGAATCATTAAAATATATTCTCAATCACGAGTTTTACGATTAATCATGTACGGTGTTATGATATTGTGAGTATTATATTTATTTATCTTGGCCTAATTTGTTTTGTTCAGTCAAATTAAACTGTACTTAAATCTTTTAACTACTAAAATAACATCATATGTCAGAACATAGTTTATATTGCTACCTCTATATTTGGATCATTCTATTCTCATAACATGTATGTATCTGTATGCCCCACAAGGGCTCCGAATATTGGAAATAAAATACGTTTAATGTTTATATATTTAAATGAAAAAATGTGAATAAAAGTGTGAATAATAAGGATTGAATCTAGGACAGTGTAAATAGTGGTGGAGGAATATCGGTGGGGAACTACTTTCCTCCCATACGGAGGTGTGCCTTGATTAGCAGAATTACGTATACAGATACAGATGCAGTAGTAGATTCTGTCGTTACCTTCCCTGTCCTACTAGAGTTCCCATACTAGCGGATTTTGTGTGGGGATGGTAAAATTATATCATCATTTATTTTAAAAGGTATGTCATCATTCTATGTAGTTCTTATTTTACCGCTTTCAAAGTAAGGTGCGTTTATGAATTGGTCGGTAAGTCGAAAAGGTGTTTACAACCTTGAAAACTACGAAACCATAATTTGATTTCTGAGAAGGAAGGAAGTTCGTAATCCGTCCATTTTACAAATATTTTTATTTTCCGGGTTTGATGAACCAACCTTCAGGGTTTAAGCTAGGATTTGAGTGCTTTAGTCACTTTTGCGCGAGATGAAGATCAACATTATTTTGGGTAACAGCAAGGATGTATGTATATTACTAGCTATACATCTTTGTCAGACTAAGGCATAAATTTACTAGGCAGTAATTGCATGATTTGACTGATGTGTCACTTAAATATGAAGATTAGGATATAAGATCTGAAAATCTAGTTCAAAATTTTACTTCAATTAGTTTCAGGGGACATTCCTGATCAACAAAAGTTAGGTTCCTTTTTTTAAAACCAGGAATCACAGTATAAATGAACTTGTTGAACTTTGTAAGTCTATTACACTGCATAATCATCATCCTTATAAAACGTTTAAATCGATATTTTGAATTAATTTCTATAAAGTTGGAACCAAGGATTTGTACAAATTCACATGGAACGATTCCAATAACTGTAAATTGTAAATTAAACGAGAATTGATCACGTTTACTTTCGATTTTCAAATGAAATGTAAACGGGAAGTGACAAGTAGATAATAAATTCAGAATGAATCCAGATTTATCTACGGATTGGTTCGTGTTTAAAAAAAGGCAGGGAATTATCATTTTTTTTATTTCAATTTGCTTAGTACATGTAGCAGTCAGGGGAGTTACTTGTACAAGTGATTTTTAAAATCACTTTCTCAAGTGATTTTTTCAACAAAACTAGAGTTAATTCCCTTTCATTACTTTTTAAAAATCACTTCTACCAGTGATTAGAAATATTTTTTAAAATCACTCATTCAAGTGATTATTATGTTTGGAAAAGTTTCAATAAGAAACCAGGGTTATCTCCCTCTTTCAGAGGACAACATCACAACAGGGGTCATTTTGACATTAGCTAATAGAAGACACCTGTTTAAAAGGTGAAAATAAATAAAAACTAACTTGTAAGGAGAAAAATTTATTTTCTGAACAAACAATAGCATTAGAAATGATTAGTAGCAATCTGTTCAAATGTTCCTTCAAATAAACTGCTTGCATATACTGTAATAAAGGGACATAACTCACAAACTGTAAAACTGATGCTACCATATTTGTACTCGTGCTGAGTTTGGCGGTAATAAGCATTGTCTATAAGGTTCATTACATTTGGTTGAGGCAAAGTTAAGTTAGAGAACGGAAACCAATTTTGGGATGTACAGACAACATGGACAAGGGTAACACTTAATGCCCCTAGGCTACAGCTGGGGCATAAAAAGGAACAATAAAAACTCATAAACTGAAAATGCTATATATATATATATGACCAAAAAAAAATCACAAACATTTTTACATACATTTGTAGAAAACTAAAGACTCAAACAGTAATAAATAAGATTTTGCAGGTCATAATTATAATTTGTAGTGAAGTTAATGGAATATAATCATTCATTAAAAAAATAGTATTGATCACTGGTATAAATAAAAATAAAACACTTCAAAGGGTGTCTTTCATCACATACATTTTGAAATAATGTAAATCACTGGTACAAATGATTTTAAATCACAGCACAGAGTGATTTTCATTCAATAAGAATGTTAATCACTTGTACAAATGACTTAAAATCACTGCACAGAGTGAATTAAAATGTGTGTTTATCTCCGATACCAGCAGTATTTCCAATTAACTTCTATGGTGAAAAACAGATATGTTTTTTTTAATTCAAATTAAAAAAATAACTATATTTATCAATCAAATCAAATCTGTTGTAAATTGTATAATTTTAGAGGGCTGAAACAAAATGTGTGCAACAGCAATTGAATCTTAATAAACAAGAGGCTCTCAAGAGCCTGAATCACCTACCTGTTATTTTTTGCTTAAATCTTTCATCAATGATTATTTTTGCTTTTCAATATATATTAATAATGAGTGGCTTAAAAATACCATTTAAATGTTCTTTAATGAATTGGTGGCCATGTTTGTTGGTGGATCAAAACTTCGGATACAATTTATAAACTAGATACCCTAATGAACATTCATTCAAAGTTTGAAGGTATTTGGCTCAGTAGTTTCAGCGGATAAGTTTTTGAAATAGTTTATGACGACAGACGCCAAGTGATGACATAAGCTCACATAGGGCACTTCTGGCCTCAGTCAGCTAAAAAGGGGGGATGACTTGAGTGACTTTTATTTACTGTTCAGAGTGATTTCAACAGAACACTGGTCAAAGTGATTTCCAATTAGAAACTCCTCCCCTATTAGAAATCCAGTACCAGAATATTAATCTTTATTTAATGACCAGGACTAATCATCAATGATTGAACTCTGTTGCAGATTTTAGTCTTTGTAAGGGTTGTAACAGAATGCAGAGGTCATAAAAGTTGTCAAATTTTGCAGTCCTAGGTCATTTAAATCTTTTTGTCAGAATATAACTATTTCTATAAATTTAAATTCAGATAACATTTTTGTTGTAATCTGGTTCAGCAAGGGGTCCTGACTGTCCAGCACAAGATCATTCATGAAGAAAAAATTGATTTATCCAGGTGCTTAAAACCCAAATCATTTCAAATTGCAATTAAAATTTATCTGTAAAAAGGTTACATGAACTCGTTTCCATATTTACCATCATACATGGATGAAAGCAGGGTTCAATTCTAAAAAAATGTTTATTCCTCTCACATTGTCATGTCCCTGGTCAGGATCCTTAAATTAATTTCAAATTACCTTCAAAAACTGACTTACTAAAGTAACATCTTTTCATTGATTACAAAAAAATTATCAATCAGATCAAATCTATAATTTTTTAAGAATATTTCATAGGGCAAAAACACGATAACTGCCAAACCATTTATCAATTGAAAAAAGGGAGGGTGCTATGCTTTCTTTTTTATTTTTTTTGCTCACATATTTGAAAGGTCAGACAAACTAACAAATTAATGTTAGGCCAGGTCTAAATTTAAATTAGGTCGTAAGTTTTCTCGTTTGAATTGTTTAACATTTTTATTTCGGGGCCTTTTATTGATGACAATGCGGTATGGGCTTTGCTCATTGTTGAAGGCCGTACAGTGACCTGTAGTTGTTAATTTCTGTGTCATTTGATCTCTTGCGGAGAGTTGTCTCATTGACAATCATACCACATCTTCTTTTTTATATCTATTACAAGTATTAGCTACATTGTACTACTACAAGTATTTTCAAATGTATTTTTATTCTTTAATGTGCACAATGTGTTCTTTATTTCAATAAATTTGAAAATAGGTGTAGCTTGAAGGAAACTGTTGGTTTTTTATTTTTTTTTGGGGGGGGGAGGGGACAAAAGTACAAATATCTCAAATTTTCACAATCGTTTTTTTTAGTATGTTTAGTTGTTTAGTTATAATAACTTTAACTAATGTAGTGAATTTGAATCTTAATCACTGTGTAGAGTGATTTTAATTAATTTTTCTACGTGCATCACTTCAACCAGTGATTTTTTTTACTTTAGCTTCAAAATGCCACAGATCAACTTGATCATTATGATGATGATGTACAAATGCTTTTTAAGTGTATTGGTTTGGGGGGGGGGGGGGGAGGGGGGTATTTGAGTGCACATGAAAGGTTTTCCTGACAATTACACCACAAAGTGTTGACGCCAGAAGGAGATAATATATATAATACAGCTTTTGACAAGAATATTTTGTAGTATTTGTGATTATTGTTACGCCTTGAATGTTTTAATTGATAAGAAATATTTATAGCACACAAGGTATTTATAGCCAATTGACCCAATTTATTTATTGAACTTGTCAGTGATCATGGTGAATATTTACCAACTAATGTATAAGGGGTGTTAAACCATATTTTCTCATTCAAATGCATTGATCGTCCAAAACTTGGCTATCATGTGTAAAACGATACAAGTGTTCGGTAAACCGGAAGTAACTTTAGTTGTTGAGTGATGAATCTGAAAATGCATCACAGGGTATACATGTGCAAATGAGCAAATATTTATATTATTTGAAGAAACTTTTCCCAAAGAACTGTAAATCTATCTTGTATTAAATGGTCAAAACATGTCCAAGAATTTTGTAATATTTCTGGACTTACATGTATATCTTCTTTATTATTAAAAATAAGTGTACCCGTCTTTTAGAAAAGTTGTTCCAAATTATGAAATACATGTATAATAATTTTTTCCCTTTTAACAGTCTATGCCAAACAGTTTTAGAGTTTGTCTGACTGAAAAAGAAATTTGACCTTTTCGTCTATATTTTCAACTAAAAAATTCTGAAAATTTCTGTCTGACCGAATGACTGTTTGTCTGACATTTTGTTGGTCAGTCAAAGTTTGGGATAAACTGTTTTTAAGTTAAAAAATATATGTTTTATGTTTTACAACAGTAAAATGACCCCTTGTCTGAGGGACAGTCCCTCATTAAAGGGATATCCTTCATTTGGGGGTTGTTCCCAACCTGTTATAATAGTTAAGAAAACCCATAAGATCACGCAGTCCAGGATAAATAATAATGTAAATCACTTGTACAAATTATTTCAAATCTGATCACTGCACAGAGTGATTTACATTAAATAATATAAATCACTTGTACAAATTAAATGATTTCAAATCACTACACAGTGATTTTCATTATGGTCAGATCATATGTTTTCTTACCTCATATGAATTTGTACTATGCATGCTTTTTTAATGGACATTGTGACGTCAAAATGCATTCTTAATAGTAAGACAAGGGTGCAAACGCTGAAATGTCTCGCCTTCTTTACTAATCATTGATATCATGTTGATAGTCACTAATATAAAGCTTAACTACAACTATCACATAAACTTAACATGATCCAATAAAATGAGGTCAAGGTCATATA